GTTGGTTTGCTTTGGTTAGCAGAGGTAGCAGGAACTGGTCCCACTGGGAAAGAGGTGCCTTCTGGAGCTGGGAGGTGGCTTGGCCTTGGCCCCTTCGGCGCTGCTGCACCGCGGCACGACGCAGCCTCCCGCGGGGGGAAGGTGGATGCCGGAGGGGTGGGCTCCCGCTTGCAGGCTGCTGAGCTGCTGTTGCTCATGGTAATTATATTAACGATGTGACTTGGGGGCTGCAGCCAGTGACCTGGTTCTGAATCGGTGAGAAGGGGCAGATGCAGGTGGAGGTGTGGAGGACGGGGCTGTTGGAGCCCGTTGAAGAGAGCAGCATTGCAGCACTTCGGCAACACTCTCGCGCTGGGCTTTGCGCCGGCCGGCAGCGCAGGCTGGAGGCACCTTCCCTTCCTCTGGTTGCACGCGAGTACAGCTGGGGTTTTAAAAGTCATTAATCAGGCTGAAACCCTGCTCTTCCCAAACCATTTCCCAGGGTGGAACAAGTTTAAAATGTCACCATCTCACAAATGGTGCGTTTTCACAGTTCTGGCTAAGGCTCACTCCATCATCAAAAGGAGAAATTTGGTTTTCTCGAAGGTGGCATCGTCTTTCTCTAGAAAATGGCCAAATACTGACTGATGGGCCATAAAACATTCGTTTCCTCAGACTCTCTCAGGTTGCATTTTTTTGGCCTCCCGCCTTCCTCGTGGTGTCATGCCGGGCTCAGTAACACTGTTGTCTGCCGTCGAGGGTCGATGGACACGTTGCTGTAGGGGAGCTGGAGAGCAGTGGTACGTGGCTTGGAAAGCTGGCGGGGTCTCGGGGAGATGCTGGGGAGTTTGGCTGAGCGATAGCCGTATTTCTCCGGGGCTGTGTGTTTCGGAGAGAACGAAGGTCGGACGCTACCCGAGGAGATTTAATGTATAGCCTCTCTGAATGCGGCAGGCAGCTCTCCGGAGAAAAGGAGGCTCCGCTTGCAGAGCAGCTTTTGGATCCAAGTATGTGTCACCTCGCGGAGCTGTATGTCCCCTCTTCCAAGCCCTGGAAACGTCTTCTCTTTGGGTCTTGTTTAACATTTCTGAAATCCAAAGGGACGGGCAGACCTGACCCCCTCATCACCCCGCTTCCTCCTCCTTTCCAGCTCCATCCCTACATGCGCTTCGCTGAGAGTGCATTAAACAAAGAGCAAACATCATTGAATTTCACGTACTGCAGCAACTTGAAAGCACTCGAGTCAAAGAACGGAGGGGCCCGATTTCAGAGCATATCCGTGCAGGAGCAGGGAGAGCTGGGTTTCTCCCCATGACGGGCTGATGTCTCCTGCATGGGGCCATGCCGAGGGAGAGCTCGGCACCCGTCCTCGGTGCGGGCAGGAGCTCCTCTGCGGCGAGGGCGGGCGCAGGAGGGGAGGTGGAGGTGGAGGTGGAACGGTGCTTGGCTTTGTTCCTTTCCCAGCATGGTGAGATGGAGTTTGGGAAGAGAGTGGAGAAAGGGAATAGCCTGAACGCATCACAAGGAGAAGCACAAGGGGAAAAAGTATTATTCAAGCTGAAGGACGCTGTTGGTACAAGAACAAACAGATGTTAGCTGGATGTAAATATACAAGGTAGAAAATTAAGGCAGAGAATATTGGGGAAGTGTTTCTGAAACAGCCTTCTAAGGATGCAAAGACAGAAGACAGTTCGTGACTCCATTTATGAATGGGCTATAGAGTGGTACAGCTCATGTGGAGCGAGATCTTTTTAAATAGGACATTCATGCTTGTCCGACGAAATATTTTTTCCCCACCAAAAAAAAAAATCAAAAAGCGTTTCAAGTGAAACACTTTGTAAATGCCATTGGTGGGGTCTTTTGTGGAGTGTCATGCCTGCATCGTTTTGGACAACCACTTCCATGGTGCACCGTGTTGCCCTTTCTCACAGTGCATCCCTCAGGGGACACAGTCATCGTCCAAGGTGACATCTCCCAAGTTTGAGAGTGCACCTTAGCTTTTTGGATATTTATTTCCCAAGGAAAAAATATTTTTCTGTGGATAGCAGGAAGAAACAAACATCAAAACAAAGGTCTAAGTTCTGTTATTTTGAAAGGCTTAGTCACATTTGTGCAATTTGGCACTGTCACGCCACAGCCCCTCTCCTGTCGACGCGCTCTGAAGCGCCCTCTCCCTTCGCTCCGGGTTCCTGCTGCGCATCTGAATACGGAGCCGCTTTGTGTTAGATGAATTTCCAAATGTGCTTCGAAGCCCAGAGCCGTGAATACGTCAGAGCAGCGCACATCCACCGCCTGGCTTCGAACTAGGCCCTGTAACCTGAAGGTAACAATATCCTGGCAATGGATTGACTTTGCAGTTAAGAGGAGGAAAAAGCAGCAAATAAGGAGTGCATTGTGTTTCAGCGTATGTCAAGGGCGGCTGTCATGGTGAGCTAGCAAATCTTGCTGTAATTGGCATAGAGGAATTTTGCCAAAGTCATGGAAGCAAAGTGGTTTGTTACTTGCCTTTGCGGACTTGAGAGAGATCTGTCTTGGATATCCTCTTGTTGACCTTACCGAGTTAACTTTCATGTGTTTAGAAGGTCACGGAGAAAATCATTAATATTAGGTTGATTTGATGGCTGAAAGGTAGTAAGTATTTCCTGCTTATCAGATGGGGTTTGAAAGGACTTTGAATAGCTTGATTTGTTTATCTTTTGCAATCGGTACGGCCCTTAGCAAGAGGGATTTTGTATTCCTAGTTCAGTTTGGGGAATGACATATGGTTTGCTCTCTGATGAGGCTTGGAGGCTCCGTAGGATAAAAAGCAAAAAATCAGGAAATTCTGAAGTCCAGCTCCCAGCTAACTTGGCCATGCTGTGGGCCTTGGACATCTCATGCTGTAACGCTTTATGACATGAACAATAACAGATTAACATCCCCTTTTACTGGAAAGCTCAAAATAGAAAATTCGAAGTGCATAGAGCTTGGTTGGATGGAAAGCCAAATCCCGTAAACATGGCTTGGCACCGCCAGGCTTTCATTGACCTTGGCGGGGCCGAGATTGCTTTCCGTTCACAACAAGGCATCGGCGTTTGCAGGGATGTGGCACAAGCTTGTGTGGGACTAACACCGCGGCGCTGCTGTCAGAGGCTTTTGCCATTCTTGAGCGTTTCTTGGATTACTTAATGGTGAAGCCTTAGGCTGCATCAGCAAAATGGTCTTTCCCTCACCCTCCATCTGGGATTTAACAAATAGGAAAGTCATTCTTTAAGCTGAAGGATCGTTGTAAAGCCATTTAAAATGAAATCCACTCATTGTTTGAGAATCATTCGTCAAAAAAGCCCTTGAAAATCTCCCAATGTGGGCTGTCTGAAGACAGATGTTGTTTCTGGTTTCTGTGGCTGTTTGGAAAGGAGGTGGGTCCAAAAGCACCTACCTTGAACGACTGGGCAAGTACAACGGAGAGGAGGGAGAGCCGCTCCTTTTCAGGAGCGAGGCATTTCTGATGCATCAGTTGCTTGAGGTGATGGTTGTTTTTAAGAGGAATGCTGTTTATTCCCTTGTATAAGTTCTGTATTCTGTATTTTAGGATGTCTTTGTAGCTGTGTATTATCACTGAAAGATGTAGTGATAAATAAATGGATGAGGAACTGATTGAAAAGAAAAAGAGAGGAAGAATAAAAATGAAACCAAATTTGATGCTCTGTTTTAACGACTGGGGTTTTGCAGACTATAAACCGTTGGCAAAGAATGAGATGGAGTTATATGAAACCCACTATCCTGAGATGCTGAAGTTAGCCTGCATAGACAGCGGCCCATACCAATTGGATAGATTTGCAAAATAGACCACAATACAACCCCAAATCCCACCAAAACGCTGGAGGAACCGAAGTAATGCAGGAAATTCTTTTCCTGTCCCTAGAGAGCGTCCCAGAGGGCACGCTGCTTGTCGGGAGCTAGAAGGTGCAAGCAGCCATTCATTTCAGGGACCTGTTGTGCTGAACTCCGGATCCAGAGTCTGTAGGTTTTGTTAGCTACAGCATGGATGCGTGGATGATCAGATTGAAAGGTCAAAAAAAGGAGGTGGTCATTTTGCGTATGATATTTTTATATGCAGTAATAACATATTAATAGTAAAAAAAAAAAAAGAGAAAAGAAGGATTTCCTTTTGCTTTGGTGAACAGAAGTGTTCACCTTAACTTTTCAAGTGGGGCTGGGACTTAAAGACATTTCTGCATTCGTTTTTGTGTGGTTGTGATTGTTATGGAAATGTATTTGGGGGTGGATGGACTTGGTTTTAGGTGACCTTCTTGAGTGAGTGTTGGCGATCAGTTACCAAAGGAGGCATATGTTACTAATTTTTTTGAGATTTATGAAAGAGCGTCTCTCTTACGGTATATATAAATGGACTTTCTTATCTCAGTTAAGTTAGCTGCTTGAGGGAGTATGCTCTTTAGGGCAGGGATACTGTGAGAATGGATTTCAGCAATGATCAAATAGGTTTTATCTCATGAAATCGACACTGCATGAAATTTTATTTTAGAGTATTGATACTCTCTGCTGCGGGCCAGATGCAGCCCAGGCTGGCACGGCTAATCCACCTTGGCCACACTCCAGCAGAGCATCCTGTTTCAACAGAGTGGCTAAGCGCGTGCTTATCTTTAAGCAGGCAGCTAAATCCTGGAGGTTTCACTGCTGCTCTGGACCACGGCTTCTTGACCAGGGGACAGGTCAGCTGCAAGGAGAACCTGAAGCACGTTCCTCCTCCAGGATTTCTTCCCCTGGGTTGGAGCTGGGGCTGTTACTGGAGAACTGGTGGAGTGATACACGCGTGGGCTGACTTTATTTCAGGGGTCGGTGTCCCCTGCTGATCCCCCCGTCAGGGTACCGCTGGGCTTGGACAAGGTGTTGGGGTTGTGGGTGATGCCAGCCAGGCCCTCGGTGGGGGGAGGAGGAGACGTCATGGCTCTGGGCTGCCGCGTGTCCTTCTTGCGAAGGGAGGAGGCACTTCGTTAGCTGATCTTGGGCGGGGCACTTCGTTAGCTGATCTTGGGCGGGAGGATGGTGACAAACATGCGCAGGCGGGTTCGTGGCGGGTTCGGAGTTGACCACAGCGCGGGATGGCTCCGTGGGTGCTCCAGAGTCCACCCGGGCACCGGCGGGGGCCTCTGCGGTGTGGGCGCTTGGGAGACAATTAAAAGAGAGAATTAAAACATGTTTGGGAAAACAGATTGCCTCTTCTGTTTGAAGTTTCCAAGAAAGCAAAGCAACCTGCCCTTCCCCCCACTTCAGATCCCACCTGTTTTGTTTTTTTTCCTAGAAAAATGTGAAATTCATTAACATGTGGTGAAAGCAATGTAACGACGTCATCTTGATTTAAAATCTGTTTTAAATCTTAAAATGATGGAGCCAGAATCTTAACTGCAAATAGCCTTGCTTTTGTGGGTACGAGGCAGACTGTCAACATTACTCGAACATCTCTGGTTTTAGTAGTTTAGCATCCTTTGCAACAATATCATTTGAAAAGAAAGCAAGAAAAGATGTAGGAAGAAAAAAAAGAAACGAATATTATTCATGTCAAAAGCCAAGTCCGGCTTTGCTGTGCTCAGAGGTAGCTGGGGAGAGGAGAGCGAGCAGAGCCTGGCGCGGTGACGGCCGTCAGCATCCGCGGTGCCCTCCTGGCACGCTTCTCCTCCCACGTCACGGCTTTGGGGCACGGCTTCGTGCTGCGCTGCTTGCTGAGAGCAGGAAATATCGCTACGCTTAATTGTGTAATTCTTGTCTGCCACCTCTGTCGTCACCTTGAGCGTCTCTTTAGACCCAGCGTCGCCCTGAATCTCCCTTTGCTCAGCCTGCGCGTTTAGCTCCTGCAGTCTCCTCCTGACTTCTGACAGTAAAATAAGAGAGTTAAATCACTTTCTCTCCTAGGACTTGGGATTCAAATAGCATAATCCCGGCTTTTAATAAGGGCAGCGAAGGCGACCCCGCAACATCCCTGTGAACCTCATTGCTGTTGCCACTGTGTTGAATATAATGTTTTTGTTTGGGTTGCTTAGCGAAGGTCTGGTGCTAAGCAGCACTGCCTGCCTGAAGTTTTCCTCCTGCTGCTGATCTGTGTGTCTACTCGATAACTGGAAACGCTAAAAAGTTCTTTTGAGGTTTTGACTTTCAGGGAGTATTCGGCTTCGAAATATTTGCTGGTATGAGATGACATATGCAGGAGGCTGAAGTGGGGCTGTTTTGCGTGTTGTGGCCGCTTGCTCTTCTGTGTTTTAGCCTGGAATGAACCTGAACGAGGATTTATTGACCCTTTTTCATTTGCGTTGCCAGCTCCATCCCCACACCAATATATCAGAACACCGTTACTTGTGGGCTAGGAGGACAAGCGTGCTGTAGAAGGAATGTGTTAGGAGGAGAAGTAGTAACCCTGCTAGGAGTATATGTCGTTCCTCTGCCAGTCCCAAACCCAGGCATCATTAAATTCCCATGTGATTCTTATTTTGTGGTGCATTTTGTCTCTTACACGCAAGTGGTACACAGCATTAGAGTTCGCCAACAACGAGTAGACTTTGAATGGTCTTTGTCTTGGTCAAATTAAAAATTGCCTATTGTGCGGTGGTTTTGTGTGTGTGCCACTCGATAATCTTTTGCTTTTGGTTTCCGAATGATTTATTGTCCTGTGAAGGGAGTCTGCCACCAAGATATTGTCCATCTGTGAGTTTGGAGTGGGCAGCGTGGATGTTGTGCGAACGCTCTCGGGGACAGATCGTGGAGCGATTTCTGGGCTTTCGTATTGTTTGGGTGTGAAGTGCTTTTGGGTGCGTGCTGCCCAGCCTCCCCTTTGGGAGGGCATCTTGAGAACGTCCGGGCTGCCTGGTCCTCTGACCTTGGGCAAGGCAGGACGACTCTCTGGAAGCAAAAGCAGGAATCCTGTTTCAGTGTTTCTTGGGAACAGTTAAGATAGGAAACAAGACCTCCAGAGAAGGGCAGATGTGTCAGAGAAAGTTTCTGGTAATATTCTGTAGCGAGCTAAGGTTAATTTAATCCATTGGCCAGAAAAAAACAGACGAAGTGGCTCAAGCGGTCCGACCCCCGCCGATATCGGCCTCACAGCTGGACGTGCTGGTTTGGCTCCCGCTGGTCCTCGTGATCTCTCCCCAAGCCGTGGCCCTGTTGAGGCGGGCAGAGATGCATCCATAGACGGTCACCAACGAGCCAACTTCACTGAAAAGCAGAGCTGGCAAAAAAGTTAGGCTGAAGAGTGCCCGCGTACAAATGACACTTTTATCGTAGTAGATTTTATGCCTGTGCAAAGCTGGAGTCCAGTCTGCTAATGTCAGCATAAATAGTTTTTTCTCTTGACTTCTTCCCTGCAGTTAATCCGGGGAATCAGTGCGGTTGCTGAAGGTGAAGCACAAATTCTCTGAAATGGAATTGTCCCCTTTCTCCCAAACCTGTCCGTGTAACCTGGTAGAGGCTATGCATATGCGAAGGAGAGCCTAATATATGGCCAGCAGGGCTGACCAGGATTAAATCAAAGCAGGACCGAGCAGAAGTTTTTACTCAGAAAACCCCCACAGTTTGACTGTAAAAACCCAGGATTGGTTTACTGTCGGGAGCCAGCTCTGGCTGGAATTACGTGTGGAGTGCCTGATACCGCGGCCGCGGCTGTCAAGGGAAGGGCAGCCAAATCCGAGTCCTCTTGCGCCACGTGCCCTTGGCAGGTTGGGGTGCAGTCTTTCTGTCCAAGAGGCTTGTTTTGTTTCACGGTCTGTTCTCTTCTCTCTCCCCCCTCCCCGTCCGCTCTCAGATGTTTGCTGCCGAGGAGAATGTAGATTTTCGGATACACGTGGAGAACCAGACGCGAGCGAGGGACGACGTGAGCAGGAAGCAGCTTCGGCTCTATCAGCTCTACAGCAGGACAAGTGGGAAACACATCCAAGTGCTCGGCAGGAGGATCAGTGCCAAAGGAGAAGATGGAGATAAATATGGTAAGAATATTTACTGGGATCCCCCAGACTCCAGGTCAAAGGCTTTAATCCTGTATGTTGGGCTGAGAACCTCTCGGGAGAAAAAGAAGAGGAGCAATAAAAAACAGGATAAAAGGGAAAAAAACCTTTCCAGGTTAAGAACATGGGATTTGTTGTGTTGGAGCAGGCTGTCAGCCCGGCTCCCAGCTGCAGGCACTTCCCACAGTAGTGTCATGCCCCAATTTATTCGTGTATGATGGTGCTTGAAGAGAAAAATCTTTTTCTGCCCAACGGATGAGCTCACAATGTGTCTGCCGTAATTCATAAACGATACCCAGGTTGGTGATTGTTCTTTCCCCATGAACGCTGGGCTTGAGTTTGGGTGAATCCAGTGCTTCAGTGAAGCACGCTCATCTTTCTGGGCAGAGGGGATATTTGGTTTGAGCTGAAATTAAGCAGACTTGGGAGCTTTGAGAGTACCCCAGAGCTTAAGCTGAAT